GATTTTATCGTTTAATGCCCTTTAAGGACCTATCATAAGACAATGTTGGCGCCCCCCTGATGTTGGCACAAGGGGTGATTGGCCCTCTCGCCCCCTCCTTCACACAGCCCTGAGTATATAGATAACGGGTTTCAGGGCATTAGAAATTTGAACTATCCAATGAACAAAATCTTCAGACATAACTAGCAAATAATAACTTGGAATAAGTGTTCAATGCCTCAAAGATGACCAGTTAATAATTCCAAAACTTTTTAAATGTGACAAATTCAATCTACATGCACCAGACAGCTGGATCATTTGTGTTCTACATGCACCAAACAGCTGGATCATTTGTGTTCTACAAGCACCAGACATCTAGATCATTTGTGTTCTACATGCACCAGAAAACTGGATCATTTGTGTTCTACATTCACCAGCCAAATGGATCATTTGTGTTCTGCATGCACCAGACAGCTGGATCATTTGTGTTCTACATGCACCAGACAGCTGGATCATTTGTGTTCTACATGCACCAGACAACTGGATCATTTGTGTTCATCATGCAATAGTCATCTTCAGATATCATAATTCAAAGTGTATTCTCTTAATAACCTTATCTTTTATCATGATTATTACAATTCATTCATTTTTATATTTAATAAAAAGGTAAATAATTTTTTTTTACATTTTAAAATAGAGTTACGTGCTATTGCTTATGCGGGAGAGCAAATTAGGAAAGAATGGGTTAATTCAACTTCCTTTTATCTGAACTCATGAAATGTCAACAATATCTTGAATAGAAAATGTACATTGTTTATTATTAAGTTTTATATTTTGTAAACAAAAAAAAAATGAATTTAAAATTGAATAATATTTCAAGAAAAAATAGATTGATATTATAAGCAATATATAGAAGAGATATTTTATTAAATGTATTTAACCGATAAGTAGAGCTACATATGAGGTAAAGAAAAAAAACATAATTTTTTTTTAAGACCTTGTGAGCCAACAAGGCCCTTTGCCATCTGATTGGCTATCTCATCAAGACATTTCAACAAGGCCCTGGGCCATCTGATTGGCTATCTCATCAAGACATTTCAACAAGGCCCTGGGCCATCCATCTGATTGGCTATCTCATCGAGACATTTCAACAAGGCCCTGGGCCATCTGATTGGCTATCTCATCGAGACATTTCAACAAGGCCTTGGGCCAACTAATAGGCTATCTCATCGAGACATTTCAACAAGACCCTGGGCCATCTGATTGGCTATCTCATCGAGACATTTCAACAAGGCCTTGGGCCAACTAATAGGCTATCTCATCGAGACATTTCAACAAGGCCCTGGGCCATCTGATTGGCTATCTCATCAAGACATTTCAACAAGGCCCTGGGCCATCAGATTGGCTATCTCATCAAGACATTTCAACAAGGCCCTGGGCCATCTGATTGGCTATGTCATCAAGATATTTCAACAAGGCCCAGGGCCATCTGATTGGCTATGTCATCAAGACATTTCAACAAGACCATGGGCCATCTGATGGCTATTTCATCAAAACATTTCAACAAGGCCCTGGGCCATCTGATTGGCTATCTCATCAAGACATTTCAACAAGGCCCTGGGCCATCTGATTGGCTATCTCATCGAGACATTTCAACAAGGCCCTGGGCCATCTGATTGGCTATCTCATCGAGACATTTCAACAAGGCCGTGGGCCAACTAATAGGCTATCTCATCGAGACATTTCAACAAGGCCCTGGGCCATCTGATTGGCTATCTCATCAAGACATTTCAACAAGGCCCTGGGCCATCAGATTGGCTATCTCATCAAGATATTTCAACAAGGCCCTGGGCCATCTGATTGGCTATGTCATCAAGACATTTCAACAAGACCATGGGCCATCTGATGGCTATTTCATCAAGACATTTCAACAAGGCCCTGGGCCATCTGATTGGCTATCTCATCAAGACATTTCAACAAGGCCCTGGGCCATCTGATTGGCTATGTCATCAAGACATTTCAACAAGGCCCTGGGCCATCTGATGGCTATTTCATCAAGACATTTCAACAAGGCCCTGGGCCATCTGATTGGCTATCTCATCAAGACATTTCAACAAGGCCTTGGGCCATCTGATTGGCTATCTCATCAAGAGCCTATCTCATCAAGACATTTCTCTTTGGTGTTCATTCTCCAACATGAAGCATCTGCTTTCTGCCTCCACCATGTTTAATGTCTCCAGTGAAAGTTTATTTTTGTCTCGGACCCACAAGATAAACCATCGATGATGAGGGCCGTAGACTGGCATTATGATGAGGGCCGTAGACTGGCATTATGATGAGGGCCGTAGACTGGCATTATGATGAGGGCCATAGACTGGCATTATGATGAGGGCCGTAGACTGGCATTATGATGAGGGCCATAGACTGGCATTATGATGAGGGCTGTAGACTGGCATTATGATGAGGGCCATAGACTGGCATTATGATGAGGGCTGTAGACTGGCATTATGATGAGGGCCATAGACTGGCATTATGATGAGGGCTGTAGACTGGCATTATGATGAGGGCCATAGACTGGCATTATGATGAGGGCCGTAGACTGGCGTTATGATGAGGGCCATAGACTGGCATTATGATGAGGGCCATAGACTGGCATTATGATGAGGGCTGTAGACTGGCATTATGATGAGGGCTGTAGACTGGCATTATGATGAGGGCCATAGACTGGCATTATGATGAGGGCCATAGACTGGCATTATGATGAGGGCTGTAGACTGGCATTATGATGAGGGCCATAGACTGGCATTATGATGAGGGCCATAGACTGGCATTATGATGAGGGCTGTAGACTGGCATTATGATGAGGGCCATAGACTGGCATTATGATGAGGGCCATAGACTGGCATTATGATGAGGGCTGTAGACTGGCATTATGATGAGGGCCATAGACTGGCATTATGATGAGGGCTGTAGACTGGCATTATGATGAGGGCCATAGACTGGCATTATGATGAGGGCCATAGACTGGCATTATGATTAGGGCTGTAGACTGGTATTATTGAATATTTAGTGAGATCTTAATACTAGTGATCAAGTCATAAACAGTTTTTCAGCTAATGCAACAAAAATAAAGGAATATGTGATGTGTGTTAAATGAAACCCCATGTGATGTGTGTTTAACTTTAAACAGGCCACTTGTCCATCCTCAACAAAGATTGAACTCAGCTACTGGCACTTAAGAATCAGATATTAGAAAGATTTAACTAAGCTACTGGCTCTCAAGAGTCAGATATTAGAAATATGGGCCGAACACTTTTGTCAGTGGAAGAAGTACCTATATAGTATGAGCCTGTTTTATAATCCTTACTTTCAAAAGTTAACCTGGTCAGTGGAAGAATTACCTGTATAGTATGAGCCTGTTTTATAATCCTTACTTTCAAAAGTTAACCTGGTCAGTGGAAGAAGTACCTGTATAGTATGAGCCTGTTTTATAATCCTTACTTTCAAAAGTTAACCTGGTCAGTGGAGGAATTACCTGTATAATATGAGCCTGTTTTATAATCCTTACTTTCAAAAGTTAACCTGGTCAGTGGAAGAATTACCTGTATAGTATGAGCCTGTTTTATAATCCTTACTTTCAAAAGTTAACCTGGTCAGTGGAAGAAGTACCTGTATAGTATGAGCCTGTTTTATAATCCTTACTTTCAAAAGTTAACTGATTTGGTTCTTGGATCATTTCAAAATATCAAAACATTATTTCATTAGCCAGGTAGAAAGAAGAAAATATAAGGATTAAATTCTCTCAATACTTATAGTAACAGTACTGAATATTAGCCCTGAGCCTTGATTCTTATAACCCTGAAACTTGATACTAATATCCCTGAGAATTGATACTAATAGCCCTGAGCGTTGATATTAATAGGCCTAAGTCTTGATGCTGACAGTGGAGTCAGTTAAGCACTGGATGACCATAAACAAGCTCAAATTGAATGATGAAAAGACTGAGCTGATCCCATTGCCACTGTTCAGAAACAAAAATCTGTAAAAAAACACAACATCACTTACTCTCTCAGGTATACAGATTGAGTTTGCTCATACAGTGCGAGACCTGGGTGTCTTTTTGGACAGAACACTTACTATGGAAAATCACATTAACATGCTTTGCAAGGCGATTTTTCTAGAGCTGCGCAGAATTAGTCATATCAGACATTTCCTAACGTTTGAAGCATCAAAGAGGCTGATGTCTGCATTTGTGTTATCACGCATGGACTACTACAATGCTCTCATGGTGGGTCTTCCAGCTACGCTCCTGGATAAAATTCAAATAGCACAAAATAATGCGTCTCGCATTGTTCTTCGCAAACGCAAATTCGACTATGCTAAAACACTTCTGAGAGAGCTGCACTGGCTGCCGGTGCGTGCTCGCATAGAGTACAAAATTGCAACTTTGTGCTACCACTTCTTACATGACCTGGCGCCGTCCTATCTCAAAGCACTCATGACGCCTTATGTACCCACTAGACAGCTCCGCTCATCTGATAGTGGCAAAAAATCAATACTGCGTGTTCGCCTTACGGAAAGCGCACTTTTGCATTTACTGGCCCAACAATTTGGAACATCCTTCCTGTCGTTCTCAGAAACAGCCAGACACTGGAGTCCTTCAAAACCGATTTGAAAACACATCTATTTCGCACATAACTTCTGGGGTGATGCTATCTACCATCTTTTTCCAGTTAATGTATATTGGCTTGTGTTGCTTATGGCTGAAATGGGGTGAAAGACTTTGACTTGGTATGCTCGTACGTAGTTTTTTTACTGTTGCGTCTGTTTTTAAATGTGGTAAATTTTAGATTGTTTTATTTCTCTTTTTAATATGGTTGACTTTGTACCCCGCTTCAAGCTTTTGGGGATGAACGGTGTTTTTCAAATAAACTTTATTATTATTATTAATAACCCTGAGTCTTGATACTAATAGCCCTGAGTCTTGATACTAACAGTTATTTTAAAATATAATTCTTTTTCAACTTCTTAAATACACATAGCATTCAGACATTTGGACTTCTCTAAGTTCCTCATTTGACAACTATTCAACAGTAGTAATTAGCAATGATTTAGATTCTGTCCTGTCATACAACTGAGATAAATACACACTCCTCATGAACAATAAAGATAATGAGACACTAACAGTTAAAACAATTATATTATGTTAAGCTTTAAATAAATATGATTAGACAAAATACACAGTTGAATTTTTAAGCTGATGCCTTCAACATTCAAACAAAAAACTGTAATCATAATTAAAGCCTAAAATATTTCTTTTGTTTACACAAATTCTTTGCGTCTAATTAATGTAGTGAAAAGTTTTATTTCAGTCCTGCATTCATCTAATGAAGAATGAATCTGTTCAATTCAAACCACTTCATCTAATGAAGAATGAATATGTTTAATTCAAACCACTTCATCTAATGAAGAATGAATCTGTTCAATTCAAACCACTTTCATTTCTAAATTTAAATCTCAATTAAGTTAAATGACTTAAAGGACTTCTGATTAAATAATACTTTTTTGTTACTCCCCTTGTTTGAATAGTCTTTGACTAGAAGTAACTTGTGAACAGGTTAATGTTTTGAATAAACCAATCTCCACCATGACCTATGGCCTATTTGACCTGTTAGAGCTGGGGTTGGGGGGCCACACAGTGTCTGCCACCATCCACATATATCATTTGACCAGTCAGGAAGCTGGCTCGTTGTGATGCCAGGAATACTATAGAGTCTGCTACTTCCGAGGTCAGGACCATTCTGCCAAGGGGGTGTAGAGCAGGGGATGACTGGGCCTTTTCAAACTTATTCAGAAAATTCAGAAACAAAGAAAAAATTAGTAGTACACATGAAATAAAATAAAAGCTAACAGTAAACGTTCACATGACTTTTTCACAATTCTTGATTAGTGCATGACAAAACCGGCTGCATCATTAGGGGAAAAAACCAGGCGACATCCTAAAAGGGAGGTGACACCAAATGGAAAATGCCAATTTGACAAGGTTCACTCAATTTAGTTACATAATGAAACTCAGTAAAATACAAGAACAAGGTACCACCAGAATAGCGTGTCACCATAGCAGGGTGCCACCATAGCAGGGTGTCACCAGAGCAGGGTGCCACCAGAGCAGGGTGTCACCAGAGCAGGGTGCCACCAGAGCAGGGTGTCACCGGAGCAGGGTGTCACCAGAGCAGGGTGCCACCAGAGCAGGGTGTCACCGGAGCAGGGTTTAACCAAAGCAGAGTGCCACCAGACATGGGCGCCCGCAGGTAGGGGCAAGGGGGGGGCACTTGGTCCCCCCCCCCCCCCCCCCCCCCCGCGGGGGGAAAAAAAAATAAAAAAAAAAAAAAAAAAAAAAAAAANATACAAATACACTCAGTAAATTATAACCACATAAAAAAATTACTAAAAATTTTTTGCCCCCCCCCCTGGAAAGTTAATCGATTTTTGGCCCCCCCCCCTAGAAAGTTTTCTGCGGGCGCCCATGCCACCAGAGCAGGGTACCACCAGAGCAGGGTACCACCAGAGCAGGGTACCACCAGAGCAGGGTACCACCAGAGGGTAGTGTCACCAGAGGATGGTGTCACCAGAGGATGGTTCACCAGAGGATGGTGTCACCAGAGCAGGGAACCACCAGAGGATGGTGTCAGGAGAGCAGAGTGCCACCAGAGCAGGGTACCACCAGAGGATAGTGTCACCAGAGCAGAGTGCCACCAGAGGATTGTGTCACCAGAGGATGGTGTCACCAGAGGATGGTGTCACCAGAGCAGGGTACCACCAGAGGATGGTGTCACCAGAGGATGGTGTCACCAGAGGATGGTGTCACCAGAGCAGAGTGCCACCAGAGCAGGGTACCACCAGAGGATAGTGTCACCAGAGCAGAGTGCCACCAGAGGATTGTGTCACCAGAGGATGGTGTCACCAGAGGATGGTGTCACCAGAGCAGAGTACCACCAGAGGATGGTGTCACCAGAGCAGGGTACCACCAGAGGATGGTGTCACCAGAGCAGGGTACCACACAATCAGGTTGCTACCACAGCAGGTTGCCAACAAAACAGTGTGTAGACACTGCAGGTTGACATCAAAGTAGGTTGCAACCAGAACAATTGAGCAGGATTCCACTAGAGCAGGTTTGGGAATCTATCCAAATCCTCATTAAGTCTGCAATTATTTGTCATGGTCTGTGGCTTCATCTGAGATGATCTTTTCCAAACTGAAACTTATAAAGAACTGTTTCCCAACAACCAGTACAGGTCTTCTGGTCTAGTGATTTTGTCAACTGAGAGTGATACGGTCAAGAGTCTTGATTTTGATGAGCTGACTGATATGCTTTTATATTTGCAGACCAGGAAAGTAATAATAGTAACATTTTAACAGTAAAGTTTAATGCATTATTAATTGGTAACTCTGTTACATTTTGTAACATTGTTACCTCAAATTTTATGCTGTCTTCGTATGTGTCTTCCTATGTCTTGTGTTGCTTTAGGAATTATATTTACAAACAATGCTGTAAGCAGTTCTATATGATCTGGTTAAGAATTACTCTATGCGGGTCGAGGGGGGTACTGACCCCAAGAGTTTACTGCTGAGCGACACCAACCCTGGTGAAGCCTATTGACAAAACTATAATTTTTAAGTCTAGCCCCATTGGTTTGATGATTCGGATATGCAACAATTTCTCATCGGTTGGTCCGTATTTATTATCAAATCTTTAAGTTATTGCAGTCAATGATTCATCTCTCATACACATAAAAGAATCAACAGTAACGGAGTTGGTGATCAGAAAGGTAAAGGTAAATATTCCTGGCTTCAACCATGAATTGAACTCTAATTGGTGTGGTGTGAGAGTAATCAACCTATTTAAAGTAACTACACTAGCCCTTGCTGTAACTATAAGTTTATGCAGAAATCAAACTACGTATCATGAAATTGTTCATTATTATGATGTGCTGGAAACTGCCAATAAATTTAGAATTATTTTCCCCTGCAGACACCTTACTATTTGATAATAATATCAATATGGTTAAATGATATGTTAAATCTTCAGTTGTATGTACCTGTGCATATTGGTCATCTGTGTAAGCCTCCTCCCCTCTCCTGTATAACATGGTCACCACAGAGCCAGGGCTGTCAACATTTCAAGGGTTCAATTAAAATCCTTTGGCCAACCCAAACTAAATCTGCTGCAAAAGGTTTAGTTCAATGAACGCATCAAAGTTCCCCATGCAATAAGTATTCCACCCACTGTAATTGCTAGTATGATCTGATCCTAAGTGTCTCCTCATCAACTTAAATCTCAAAAAATAAAATCAACTTACTTGACAGAATTCACCCTGACACCATGCGGAGCAAGCGCTAGAATGGGAAAACTCAATTATACTTAGAGAAATAATGTTCACTTTTATTATCAGGAAACTCAATTTAAAATTTTCTTTTTCATCCAAACCAATGGGAAAAAGGGAGAAGGCCGGCTGGGTATTTCCAAAGTCTAAGAAAATGTCTTGTGCTTGAGAAGACAAAATGAATAAATAGTGGACCTGATTACAAAATGACTAATACTTTGCAACTGTTAACAAAATGAATAATTCCTTGGACCTAATACGGTGCCTAATACATTTAAAATATCAAAATCTAGTAAGTGCTCACAGGTTTAGAATAGCAGCAGGTCCTGAACTTCACATCTACTTCATCCCCATCTTCTCTTTTATGTCCAGAGTAATATACTTTATCTAAATCTTCTTTAATATACATCCAAATCTACTTTAATATACTTTATCTAAATCTGCTATCATATAATTTATCCAATTAGTCTATTTTAATCTACCTTCATATTTTTACGTAAATCTACTTTCAATACTTTCATCTGATTTATCTACATTACCTTAATCTACTAACATCTATTTTTCAAAATCTCCTGCCATAAATTGTATGTGCAGTTAAGGTTAGGTACGTACTAATTGCTAGTGACATCGTATAAGAATCAAGGGCTGCCTTTGACATTGAATATACGACAGCTTTTGGTATCTGAAACAAAATCATTACAGAGCTCTAGTGGAGGTTTCTGTCAGTCACTTCAATCTTCAATGCAATTTAAACAAAATTTAAATTATTTTAGCCTAGGGCCTCACACAATGTTAAACTCCAAACATAAATTATTTATAACTTTATCATCCAATCCAATAATATATACGTACAGGCTTGTCACCGACGATGCTTGAGACATTGACAATGTTTCCTGGAATAAACAAAAAGATAGTATCAGGAAACAAATCTCCACAAATTTAAATTTTACTAACTGAAAAAATTGTGTTTCTAATAAAATATGGCAAACCGGAGGTCAACTAAAATGTTGAATCTGACCTTTAGATTTAATCAAGTGCGGTATGACCAGTTGTGTCAGGAAAAATACACTCTCTAGGTTGGTTTTCATGATCTGGTCATAATCATCTCTGCCTGTTGTGATTGGGTCACGGACGATGTTCATACCAGCATTGTTGACCTGGAAGTAGAGGAAACAGCAAATTTTTGTAAGTGGTGATATACCGGTGTCACATGAGGTCCACACTGATCTGTCTTGATATACAGACAAGTGTTAAAAAAACTTTTGATTCGGTTCAACTATAATTGGTAAGTAACTATAATTGGTATGTAACAATAATTGGTAACTATAATTGGTATGTAACAATATTTGGTAAGTAGCTATAATTGGTAAATAACTATGTTTGGTACAAACAACTATATCTAACGTGTTCATGAAAACGGTGTTATGTAAAACATGAATCAGAAACTTAGTTTGAAACTCTTTTTTCTTGAAGTCCTTATTTACATTAAAGTGGACATCAGAGTTTTAGATTTTATCTGTGTCCCAATGAATACATGATTTCTCACAGCCTTTTTTTAAATTGTGATTTAAATATAAACTCTGCTTAATGAAGAAAACCAAATAACTAACTTCTGACCCTTACCAAGGGGAGAAAAAATTTTTAATTTTTTGGGGATGGTGCAGTCAGAAAATATCAGATTCCTTCATTGCTTCTGTAGTCTTCCAAAAACCATAGGATTTGAAATTCACTGTTTGTTAATACAGCCCCCACCAAACAAAATGTACAAGAATGTATCACAAAATATAATCATAAGGATATTTGATCTCATATATGCCAGAAGGATATTTGATCTCATATATGCCAGAAGGATATTTGATCTTAGATACTATGCCAGAAGGAAAATGTTAATTGAAACATCTTTCTTACGACTTACTAAAATATCAATACGCTCAAAAGCTGTCAAAGTGTCATCGACTATTTTTCTCTGCACATCTGCCTCAGTAATGTCCCCACTTGAAGTTTGAACCTACAGGGCAAAAAGTTTTCATTTTAAAATGTTAGCTAGACAATGTAAGCTAGACAATGTAAGCTAGAAAATGTTAGCTAGACAATTTTAGCCAGGCAATATCAGCAATGAATTAAGTCTGGAGGTAACTAACAATTTTAGCAATTATTTTAGTCTGGAAATGAATCATGCATATTTATTGGAAGAGTGGGGGATCAAAGAAAAAAGTAAAGGCTAAGTAAAGGCAATGTGTTTTGATACTCTTCCAAGTAATACAGGGCGTATGAGTGGAGCCTGCATACTTCAGAAAAAAATATTGGAAAACAATTGTTCTATTGTTTTTCCACCAGCACATTTTAGAAGTTGTTTCAGTGAGAGTATGGGAACTGCATCCTTTGGTTCTGATGTATCCCGGTACACATCTTAAAGCCCTTCAAGCCATCATGGAGCAAAATTGATACATTTTGTTATGAAATTGGTGATAATAATGAAATAGTTAATACTAATGGAATAGTTGATACTAATGAAATAAAGGGTAGCCGATACTAATGAAATGGTTGATACTAATCAGATAGTTGATACTAATGAAATTGTTAGGGACAGTTTCAAAGATGAGAAGAACAGATTCATGCAATGGGCCAATTTCAAGCAAAGCAGCCCAGAGAAGATTACAAGGAATTTCTCGGGTTAGATTTTATATTTGTAGGAGAATCTCATTCATGCGGAGGGCAGTATGTGTAGTCAATTCAAACTAACTGCAGGAGTGGACATGAAATAAATTTACTAACTGTGATGTTCTCTCCTTCCTTCAAACATTTCTCTCTGACATCTTCAAGCCGTTGAAGGTCACGTCCACAGAGCATCAGATGGCAACCTTGTCTGGCAAACTCCAGGGCAGCGCTCTCACCAATACCAGCACTAGCACCTGATAAGTCAATAGTTATAGCAACACAAATAGATATTAATACCAAAACAAGCACATGAACACAAATAAATATTTATACCAACACAAGCAAATGAACACAAATAAATATTTACACCAGCACAAGCACATGAACACAAATAAATATTTATACCAGCACAAGCACATGAACACAAATAAATATTTAGTACAGCCATGGTGTATTGGTTGGTTTGTTAATGCCATCTTCCATGTCAATCAAAGTCACTTGACAGTGATTGTGTCAGCTTTCTTGTCATATATTAATATCTTCTGGGGGGGGGGGAGCTGAGCCTGATGGAAGAATATTTTGTTTGAAACACAACAACCTTTTTTCATAATAATGCTTTTTTTTGGAATAAAAATATCAAAGTCACTTGACAGTGATTGTGTCAGCTTTCTTGTCATATATTAATATCTTCTGGGGGGGGGGAGCTGAGCCTGATGGAAGAATATTTTGTTTGAAACACAACAACCTTTTTTCATAATAATGCTTTTTTTTGGAATAAAAATGATGCCAGTACTCACATCTTGTTAATATTTTAAGGGGTCACCCCTTATAACGTCATGCAGGGGGGGGGGGGGATGTCATGACTTTATGATGAACTATTATAAGGATGTCTAAATTGTGTGACAAGTATGTGACAAATTTGTGACAATGGGGAGGAGGGTCCAAAATAGCATGATGTCATTTATCGATGGCCTGTAGTTAAAAAAACATAAATTTTGTCACAGGTCATTAAATTTGAAGTTTATCTTTACTTCTCAAGATCAGATTCAGATCTATCTATTTTTGTGTGTTCTGTCATTGTATCTGTTAATATTCTGTCATTGTATCTGTTAATATTCTGACCTTTTTAGTACCAGGACTGGTGGCTGAGAAGTAATTAGTCATTTTTTTCCATTTTAAAAACATTTTTAAAAATAAACAAATTAATTACAGTTCACACGCAGCAGCGCAGCTAGTGTTAATGCCGTCTGGGGCAAGCTATTCTTTTTGCTGTCCCCTTTCACAAAGCAGCCCACAAGCACTGTTTTAATGATTTTTCCCAACCTGCTACACTGGACAGGACAATTCAAGTGCACGTGGACCAAACATAAAATTTTCATAGTTGACTTCTACAACAAATCAAGATTGCATAAAATCTATGATCGGCGCCAAAGATTAAATACCATATAAAATTTAATAATGCATATTATTGAAAAATTCAAATATGTTTACTATTTTAAAATTTAACATAAGCTTATAATTTCTAAATGTGTATCAGCATAAGCCTATTAAAAAATTGTATGTTCTTTCTTCTTCCTCGTGTGTTATTTAAATTATGCGTACTTCTATATTATCAGAATTATCTAAGGTCTTTAAATGACTATAATAAGTTTAACCAAACCTCTGAGTTTAACTTCATTATGTTTCAACTATTTAGACTGTTTAGTCATGTTAAAGTGTATGTGTCATCACCATACATGTCATAACTAAGGGTTAAATCTGCTAAATATATACTTTAAAATAAAGTTCTCCCTTAGAAGCTCAAGTGGGGGAGAGAGGTAGTTATCTAATCATTTGATTGGATCAGTGCTAACATAAAAGCCTACAGAAATATATTCCAACTGGTAAAGACAGTGTTAAAAAAAAAATTAATAAACAATTAGAAAATCAAAGAAAACTTTCTATCAATGCTGTAGGATCAGTAAGTTTATTTTTAGAAATATTATTCACAACCTTCTGTTAACTTCACTTTGATTTAAACATTAGGCTACATTCAAATGCTTATATTATTATATTATAGACAATGGTTTCATCCTACTGGTTCACAAGAACTAGTTCTTAAATTTATAAAACCTTAAGCTATATTTCAGATGTTTGGGTGGGCAGTGCCCGTGGCATAGGAAGGGTGGGCGCAGATGGCGGTCCGGCCCAAGGGTCCCTTTTTAATTAGCAAATCTTCCTACTGCAGACTTTCATCATTGCAACGGGTGGCAAAAATCTAAGCCCGCCGAGGGTGGCACTTACCACTTACACCAATGGGCGTATAACTTCACCCAACATAAACTAAATTAATTGTATTTGAAGGCATACTTTAGGTCCCAGCTAAGTTTTACCCCTTGAACATTAATAGACCAAACATATAAAAAAATAAAGTAAAATAATATATTTTTAGTCATCTTAATTACTAACATCCAGTGGTGTTTTCTTAAAAGGGTGCCACACTGTCATTTTGAGCAGGTTAAGCGGGCAGAAAGCGAGGGAGGCGATGACTACCGAGCAAAAATTGGGAGGAGTCTGTGGAGGGGTTGAACTCTCCCCCAGAAATTTTTTGATAAATTCAAAATCTTGGGTTGCGATTTGGCATATACCTGATAATCAGTGTTTCTTTCAGAAAATTTGATCCAGCAAGGGGACATTTCAGGTAGAGTGTGGCGTACTACAGGGTATTCTTTTGGCCGCAACTTATATTTTTTCATTATTTTATAACACATTTTTCTCCAGTTAAAAGAGTTATAAAAATGACAATAAGTTGTTTTTTTTTAAAATAGATTATATATTCGCTTCATTGTTGTACACATTTTTCTCCAGGGGAGGGGGGGGGGGGCTGTACCTCAGAGAGATGCCTGAAAGAAACACTGCTTAAGCCTTAGTCTAAAGCCAGTAAAGGAGCTTTTAATCTATCATTATCAAAAATTTTATGGATTTGCCCTTTCTCTTTTCACCAATTACAAAAATATGTGCAGCAAAATTGTATAAATTCAAAGAGAAATTAAACATTGACAGGGAGATACAATATAATAATTATAATTATATAATATATTTAAAAAATCCACACTTTTCAGCTTCATTTTACATGATTAATCAATAAGATTATGAAAGATAATGGCTTGCTTATAATATAATAACTTATGGAAAGTTTAGGCATAATTAATAACTTTTTTTCAAAATAACTTACTTATAAACTTATACTTATAACTTATACAATTTTAATTTAAATTTAAAAGTCACAAATAATAAAAGACTAAAATTTGAAAGTTTAAAAAATGCAGGATATTATTTTAAACCTCCCAGTTGATATATATTAGCTCTAATATTAATCATTGAATTGAATTTGAACAATTAAAAATTGTCATAAATTTATAAACTGTTTTATGTTATGTAATGTAAGTAATTGTAACGAAATAATAAGTATGGCATGGGGTCGGGGTTTTTAATAAGTTTTTATGCTCGCGGAAACTCAAATCTTTTTTCTTTAAACAATGCCCCACTGCGTCCATTCATGCTAAAATATACTTTAATAATAATTTTAATGTGAACTCTTGTTCTCACCTGTAATTAATACGATTTTCCCAGTCAAGTTTAACCATGCTGGACCATCCATTATTGTTTTTTTGTTGTTATTTTTTAATATCTCAATTGACCTTTGAACCAAACCATAGAATTTGACCTTCCACCCTTTACCTTTCAGGACTAGGCACCGTTTTTTTTTTTTTTTAAACTGTTATTAAAGCTTTGTGTATGATATTGTCAGAACGAAAGCTTCAGTGAAAACAACTCGAACTATGTGTATGAGTATGTATACATGTTTCAATGTTTGCAATACAACACTGGGCCTGGGTGTATACATATTTATTTTAAAATATATTTTTTTCGGCTGTCCCCCGACTTTTACCGACCGTCCCTTTTTTGGTGATAAAATAACCTGACTTTGACTTTGACCCTACTACTTCTATAACTCTATTTGGATCGCTGGCCTGTGGAGGTGATCTGTAAGAGATCTACTTCTTCCAGTTGAAAAAGTTTTTACTCAATTAATTACACATAGGGCCTACATTGTAACTGAACCGATCATCTAAAAAATACACAATTCCATGGTGATCAGTAGCAGAGCCGTTCTTGATTCTTAGGAGTTTGGGGGCCCTAAGCATGGAGCGTAGGTTGGGGTGGTCCAAGAATTTGTGACGATGTGTCATTAAAATGTCAATTTTGTGCTACAAAATTTTTGACGATTTTTAAATTATTTTTTTTCCAAAATAACATGACTTCATGTATGGATTACCCCTTAATACATCCAATGCATTTTTTGCTCTCAGAAAAGCGCCCCATAACTTATAAAAAAGTCCCACCCACCCGGTGCGGCGACCCCTTTTGCACCCAAACGCTCAATGAGTGCCTCAGACACCGAGGTGCGCACAGAACGCTCAATGAGTGCCTCAGACACCGAGGTGCGCACAGAACTCTACAGTAGCGATACCGTATTGTTCTGGTCCCAGCTGCACTGGGAGGCAGTGGCGTAGCGAGGGTGTTTGGCGCCCGGGGACAAGATTCGCGCCCGGGGACAAGATCCATTTTAAAGCGCCCCTTTTTCTTTTTTTTAACTCACAAAGCCATTATTTTCATCAATAAAATAATATCAAAGCACATTTTGGCGCCCCTAACTAGCTGGCGCCCGGGGACATCTGTCCCCCCCTGCCCCCACCACGCTACGCCTCTGCTGGGCGGGGCTTGTGAGAATGTCAGTCCACCGGCTGACCAAGAGAGCAATGAGAGCGGCGTGCCGGTGGTCGGAACAAACGCTTGGAATCACCTCCTCCTGGACGCCTTTTTGAAAGCGCTCTGTAAAAACCCGAATACTTGTGAACAATCGGCAAAAGATCGAATCTCTTGATGCTCCTTGGAGCACAACAACTCCACACAGCACGAAGCCAAACAGAACATCTACTACAACAGCTCCATACAAAACGAAGCCAAACAGAACATCTCCTACAACTGCTCCACACAACATGAAGCCAAACAGAACATCTCCTACAACTGCGCCACACAACACGAAGCCAAACAGAACATCTCCTACAACTGCGCCACACAACACGAAGCCAAACAGAACATCTCCTACAACTGCGCCACACAACACGAAGCCAAACAGAACATCTCCTACAACTGCGCCAAACAACACGAAGCCAAACAGAACATCTGCTAAAAAAAAAAAACATTAACGACAATCCAGAAAATCGTTGGCTAGTTCTGCACCTGGAGATGTCCCATCTATCCACTGCTTTTGCTGCACAAGAAAATTTCTTGCTAGAATTGGTCTCATCAGCCATCTGTGCACCCTCAGACAGAACCAGCCCCAGACCGTCAACCACACATCATCAACTCCATGTCATCAACCCCAGGTCATCAACCCCACGTCATCAACCCCAGGTCATCAACCCCAGGTCATCAACTCCAGGTCATCAATCCCAGGTCATCAACCCCAGGACATCAACCCCAGGTCATCAATCTCAGGTCATCAACCCCAGGTCATCAACCTCAGGTCATCAACCCCATGTTATCAACTCCAGGTCATCAATCCCAGGACATCAACAACAGGTTATCAATCCCAGGTCATCAACCCAGGTCATCAACCCCAGGTCATCAACCCCATGCCATCAACCCCAGGTCATCAACCCCAGGTCATCAATCTCAGGTCATCAAACCCAGGACATCAACCCCAGGTCATCCGTTCTAGGATCAATCGGATTATTAAGATACTCCTCTTCCAGTCGACGGACTAACCTCACGACAGATGGCATTATAATATGACGGATGGCACTAAAATATGACAGATGGCACTAAAATATGACAGATGACACTAAAATATGACAGATGGTACTAAAATATGACAGATGACACTAAAATATGACAGATGAAACTATAATATGACAGATGGCACTATATTGTGAAGAAATGTCGCTTTAAAATGATAAATGTCTCCATAAGATGTTACAATAGGGGGCTCGTTATAAAGGGGGTGGGGGCGTATCCGCCCCTGTCATCTGGCCCGGAGACAAATCAGAGTTACATGTACATCCTTAATTCATTTCCTTCTCCCCACAGCCACACAGCCACACACACAACCACACTTCCAAAAACACACAATTTTTGTCAAGTAAAAAGACAGTCGTGTTTGAGACCAGGAAGTAAAAAGCAGACGACAGCGATAAATCTAAAGTTGTTCATGACATCTCCATTGAGGCGGCACAGTGGGGCTTACTAACCAATAGCATTCGCGTTAGAGACCAAGGGCGGTAGAGTTGAGGAGACCAATGGCTGAAGAGCTGTAACGTCCATGTAATATACACATTACACTCATTACACATTCTCTCGGCGTAGTGGTAGAGAAGGGAGGCTCTCAGTGTAACAACAAATCGCTTTCAATTGTCTAGTTACCTCCGTGTGTTGCCCAGTACGCGGAGGTGTTGGCCTTGAAAACTTTGCACGTGATTTTAAACATGTTTTAATGTGTAATTTAATCAGTAAAGCCTACATACATGTTTTGTGTGTTGTTAGAGCACAACCGACAACACCGTTATTGGAATAACTAAACAATGATGACTATGTCATTGTGTTCTAACTTGGAGTACCTAGAAGTCACTCAAGCGCAGGGATCTACTAGAACAAGACACGGTCATCAGCACAGGTAAGTTGAACCAGAGACTATGCAATATATAGGTTAAAAGAGAGACCATATGATATGATAGACAGTATACAGAGACCCAGGGGCGTCTCTATACAGAGAGGCAGTGTTTCTTTCGGAAATTTTCCCGGGGGGGGCACTTCAGATTTTTCGGGGATTTTTAGGGTGGGTGTGGTCAGTTGCTTCCAATCTGATTTATTTTTACGGGCATATTTATTTTTTGGAAGGTTGGGCCTGCCTTTTGAATTTTACCAGGTTACACAATTTTTATAGGAGGGAAACCATACAATTACTCAATATTTCTTGTTACATATTTTAATTGGTTTGGGGGGGGGGGTATTTGTGACGCCCCTGCATATGATTCATACAGAGACCGTATTGTGTATAGGGCTTTAAACTAGGGACCATATTATATATAGGCAGTGCCGTCTTAAAGCATGGGCCCTCTGGGCACTGGTCCAGGACTTCACGCTTTAGGGGGCCTCACGCTTCTAGGAGAATATTTAATTTGATTTAAGAGTAATTGGACAGCACGTTTCCCAATTTTAACCCAATAATATTATTGGCACATTCCAAAATTGACATTATAAATGCGAATCACACGTTGGATGCCTCCTTCTGAAAGGGGAATAACTCGCAACAAGTTTTACTTCTACCCAGATAGGAATCGAAAGAAATAAAGTTGGAATTTGTGTTGACATTCATGTTAGGATTAGATGTTAGTCCCAGGCAATGTTCCCTTTAAAGTTTGTTGGTTCGTGTGCAAATCATACAGGTGTGTGCAAAGTTTTACAGCTTTAATTCTTTTGTGTGGAAAATTTTACAACTCATAAACACAAACACTCACTTATATGGAAATTTGCTGCGCTGTACTCAAAACTGCTGCGCGGCCTCTTTGAGATAGCTGCGTGGCCTCTTTGAGATAGCTGCGTGGCCCCGCAGCTTAAAGGGAACATTGGTTCAAGGCGGTAAAAACCATTGCTACGCCACTCTGCTCAGTAATGAAATTAGTGGGGAAAAAGCAGTGCCATCTTAATTAAGGCGGCATAGACACACTGGGAACTTGCCCAGGGTATCCGCGTATAGTGTGTGGTGGGGCTCATGCTCAAGGGAACCTTACGAAAATTCATCTCGTTTTTTATTTTCCCACAGAAAAATCATACATTGATACATTAATAAATCTAGCCGCCATTGATTGGTAGGACAATGTCTTTATAATTAAGTCTAGTCCCATTGATTGGTTGGAACATGGGCGCCCGCAGAAAACTTTCTAGGTGGGTGGGGGCAAACAATTTTAGTAATGTTTTAATGTAGTTTTAATTTACTGTAGCGTATTTGTATGGTGAAAGAACGGACAGGACATCAGCTTAGTTACTTTCCCTTTATTTTCTCTTTACTAAATTTAATACATTTTTTGTCTATTTTTGTCTAAAAAATTTGTATCCAATCAATCCAGGGGGGGGGGCAAGTGCCCCACCTTGCTCCTACCTGCGGGCGCCCATGGGTTGGAACAATGTCTTTACAGTTAAGTCTAGTCCCATTGATTGGTTGGAACAATGTCTTTACAGTTAAATCTAGTCCCATTGATTGGTTGGAACAATGTCTTTACAGTTAAGTCTAGTCCCATTGATTGGTTGGAACAATGTCTTTATAGTTAAATCTAGTCCCATTGATTGGTTGGAACAATGTCTTTATAGTTAAGTCGAGTCCCATTGATTGGTTGGAACTATGTCTTTATAGTTAAATCTAGTCCCATTGATTGGTAGGAACAATGTATTTATAGATAAATCTAGTTACCATTGATTGGTAGGAACAAAGTCTTTATAGTTAAATCTAGTCCCATTGATTGGTAGGAACAATGTCTTTATAGTTAAATCTAGTCCCATTGATTGGTAGGAACAATGTATTTATAGATAAATCTAGTCCTATTGATTGGTTGGAAC